ATCATCGACCTTTCTTCTCCCCGTGGTCGACTAGTCAATCGTGATTGACAGGTTGTGACCCCCGATGTATACCATTATTCACTGAGCATTCAGTACACGGCCCCCCCAATCTTTTCATACATCAGACACATTTCTGGCACATTTGTATACATTTTATTCCATGTTTGTATTTGGTGTAATAAAGAAATAGAAATGTAAGAATTGTCTCACCTCCAGTCTGGTTGAATCGGCTCATCAATATCTGTAAACCGTTCTTAAACACAGCCTCATTGCCCCAATTCCTTTGTGTCTCTCTCTCCCAGTAGTCAGGTTCCAGTTTCTTCATCCATTCAGTCTTGGGAAGATGCTGCCGAGTGTCGCTGTTATAATTCTCTATCTCCTTATCATCCACATATCCGACTTCAGAGTACACAGGGAGCCCGGATCCCGGAGAGGAGACTCCAGTGGCATAATACCGCATAGAGTGACTGTCTGATAGAGAGACATGGAGGGTATTCAGTAACACACATAGCCAAGTTCTGAATGTAACAATCCATAGTAACCAATCAGATCTCCTCTCAGTCACCTGACAGCTGTAAAGTGAAATCAGATTGGTTGCCATGGGTTACTGCACTTAGCAATAATAAAAGGAATAGACAATTTCCCATTACACAGCACTGTATATATTCAGCCTAGACCGACGTCATCATGGGAGAGGAAATACAAATCCCAACACACATTTCCAGGACATCACCTGCAGGAGTGCTATGAGGATCAGTGTGATCACCCAGCAAACTATCAGACTGAGAAGATTTCCAAACACATGCTGACTGCGCTACCTGTACAGCCAATGAATCACAATCAGGGTGGCCCTATACAACCGATCTGACAGGGGCCCTCTTGGGTACTCAGAGAAGAAAAAGGCAGCAAGCATAGTGACAACCAGGTACCATCCATAGTGCAGGGGTCAGGAGTGTGTCATGTACACAGAGCACACCATGGGATCTAGGCTGCCCAGGCTTTGGGTAAAACAAAGGAGAAGATTTTTTATTAACAGCAAATTATTGTTTTCACTTCAGTTATAATCCCAGCCAATGATTGTTATTGTTAAGTTGGGTAACGAGTCTGGAATGATTACAGATGGGAGGTTTTATTTCACAATTTAGTATCCTGCTGAGTCCTTATTGGAGAGATTTCTCTGCACCTGTGAAGGCCAAACTCTCCGGGTCAGTTCACAGCATAGAAACGCAGTCCCGATGCATTCTGGATCCGTTTCTGCCACAGCAATTCTGGTGCGTTTTGGATGCGATTCTGCATTAGCATTTTTTTTTTTTATGCGTTTTTGACGCATTCCCACTTATTTTTCCCCCTCTCTTTTTCTTTCATTTTAACCACCTCCTGCCCGCCATATAGTAATATGATGGGCGCAAGGTGGTTGTGTCTTTCTGTGAGGACGTCATATGACATCCTCCCATTCTCACTGCGCATGTGCGGCTCAGGGAGCTCGCAGTGCGTCGATCGGCGGTGCGCTGTGTCCCTCGGACACAGTGGAGCACCAATCACGGAAAGAGCCGAAGATGTCAGCTCGGTCATGTCATCAGCTGATCCAATCACAGCTGATCACATGTAAACAGGGAAATGCCGGTTATCTGCATTTCTCCTCCTCTCTAGCTGTCACGCTGACAGAGGAGAGGAGAGACGGTAATCAGCATTCTGTGGAGGGGACATGTACACTGATCATCAGGGCACTGATGATCAGTGTGCCCTGATGATCAGTGTAGCCCCAGCAGTGCCACCTGTCAGTGTCCATCAGTGCCTTATGTCAGTGCTCATCAGTGCCTCGTGCCACTGCCCATCAATGCCACATAGCAGTGCCTACCAGTGCACATCAATGCCACATATCAGTGCCCATCTGAGCTGCTTTTCAGTGTCACCCATCAGTGCCAATCAGTGCCACCTATCAGTGCTGCCAATCAGTGCCACCTATCAGTGCTGCCAATCAGTGCCACCTATCAGTGCTGCCAATCAGTGCAGGCCAGTGCCGCCTATCAGTGCAGGCCAGTGCTGCCTATCAGTGCCAGTCAGTGCCTCCTCATCAGTGCCACCTATCAGTGCAGCCTCATTAGCGCACATCAGTGAAGGAGAAAAATCACTTATTTACAAAATTTTTATAACAAAAACTAAGAAAAAACATTTTCAAAATTTTCAGTGGTTTTTGGTTTGTTTAAGAAAAAAAAAAAATCCCCGAGGTGATTAAATACCACCAAAATAAAGCTCTGTCACAAAAAAATGATAAAAATTTCATATGAGTACAGTGTTGCATGACAGCGCAATTGTCATTCAAAGTGTAACAGCGCTGAGAGCTGGAAATTGGCCTGGGCAGGAAGGGGTATAAGTGCTCTGTAGGCAAGCGGTTATAATAGGGACATGTGCGGTTTTTATGTGTTTTGGTGCATTCCGGTACATTTTTTACCGAGTTCCAGTTCTGTGCAGAAAAAAATGCAGCATGTTCTACTTTTTTTTCTGCAACCAGAACGCACTGGAACTGCAAGCATTGATGTGAACTATGACATTGACAGCCATATCACCTACTTTCTGTGCATTTTGGATACAGAAAAAAAAAAGTAACTGAAACGCTTGGAGTGTGAACTGGCCCTTCAACATTGACCCAGGAAGCAACAGAGGTCTGACAGATGATCGAACCATTAAAGTGACACTAAACTGTATCTTTTTCTCCAAAGATAATCCATTTACATCCACTACTTAAAAGTCCTGTAATCTATTTCTCATGATTTTTTTTCTGTTATTTTTCTTCCTCTGTATAATGTCCTCTGTGAGCTCCCACACCTCTCCTTTTCCTCCTCACTTCCATTTCATGTTTGGAATGATCAGTGCATGTTAGTGGCAGTCATGTACACTGCTCTCTGCACACTACAACTTCCATTGTCCATAGTCCCTAGTTCATCTTAGTACAAGCAAGGATGGGTAGTCCCTACATCCAGTGGGACCATAGATAATAAACATGGCTACCCTCTAACGGGAAGTTGGATCACAGCAGCAAAAAAAGGAATCTGAAGATTTGGAGGAGGCTGAGAGCAAGAGAACAGACTTTTCTGAGGACCGGTTCACATCCAGATGCGTTCCGGATGCATGTTTTTGATGGGTTCCGGTGAGTTTTTGATGCTTTCTGGTTCATTTTTTCCCTCTTTTTTCTTCAATCTACACAGAGACATGTGTGTTCCAGTACGTTTTTGGTGCGTTCCACTGCGACTGCAGACAGACTGACCGCTCCAATCATTAGTAGTGCTCGGTGCCCCATCCAGCAGCTGTCAGAATCCTATAGAGTTGTACAGGCGGCCAGCAATGGGGCTGAATGGTGCACCAGTGCCTTCTGTCTGTACCTATATGCTGGAGTGTCATGCCCCCCCCCCCCCCCCCCCCCCCCCGGATACATGCCCAGTGTACATGAGGCCTAAACTGCCCCCTGCCAGGCAGAATAGTCTATGTAAGTGTCGGCAGCAAAGACCTTCCCCGCAGTAACTGTGAGATCAATGAGGGGGGGCAGCCTAGGCTCAGGATTATTCTTGGCACACCCCTAGAACATTGCCACATCACATCAATATTCTGTATACAAGACAAAGCTGGAGTTCCTGCTACTCACTGCTGGGTGCAAGTAAGACGATGACAAGTCCGAGCTTTACTTGCTGCACTCTTCTGATCACTCAGCCAGCACCGAAGCCTGTGGATGTACATGACAGCTGAGCAACCAGAGTCCTTAGAAGAAATGCCAGTAATGGCAAAGGTGCAATTCATACCGAGTACACATGGGGGGGGGGGGGGGGGTGTGGGGGGGGGGGGGGGGGGGGGGGTGGGGGGGGGGGGGGGGGGGGGGGGGATAGTATTTACTGGAGTACTCAGAATCTGATGCAGCTGTACATGGGAGCCAATCAGCTTCTAACTTCAGCTTGTTCAATTAAGCTTTGACACTACAACCTGGAAGCTAACTAAAAATATCCCAGCGCCAATCAAAGAAAGTATACAATTATGCAGCTGTGCACCAGTGAAAAACACCAATAATAAATAACACAAAAAACAGCGCAAAAATTAAATAAATAAAAATAATCACAAATAAATAAATGTCCGTGCAAAAATATATATATATATAATATTTCAAACATAAGTCCTTATTTTCCCAAAAGGATTTTCAAGACAATGTTCCAAAATGTGCTTCCACCTAATCACCACGTGAAAAATAATATTGACCGCACTCACCAGATGGAGGTGAGTAATAAGCCTCATAGGATATAAGGGATCCTATAGCCCCTCAGGAGGAACTCAAATCGCCTTCACCCTGCTTAGATACAGCAATCGACTCCACTCTCCTTCTCCATGGAATCCTCAATAGTGTGCAAGGAAAGAAAGGCTACATAGTGTAATACTGCCACTCAATACCATATAAAATCCATAGAATAAGGACACTCACATGTTTCAATAAAATAACAGGCCTTGTTTAATAGCCTCAAAGGCTTCAAAGGAACAAGTTTCCAAATTGTAAATATAGGGATCTCACGCTTTAAGGATCACTGTAGAGGATGACCAGCTTTCCACCTCAAAAATGGCTGCTTGAACCGCAAAAATCGGCGTGCGTTCCAAATACCGGAAGTGACGTAGGCCAAGAAGCCGGCAGACCGGAAGTGCGTCAACGCGTTTCGCCCCACCCACAGGGCGTTTTCAAGACACCACCTTCAGTATCTGGCCGTCTTTTATACCCCTTAGGGAGAGCTCTCATCCATCTCCTATGCAAATTAATAGAAACTACCTCCCACTACACACCTGATCATTACACCATTATAATTACCATACAAAGTACCCACCCTCTGATCTTACCTCATCCTCTATATACTCAGCGTGAGAACCCTTCACAACTTAAATACAAGACAATGATCCGCAATTAAAACAATGAAACAAAATTCCTCATAAATATAAATACAAATCACCATATATTCCAATTATCTTTAATACTCTCTGGGAAATAAAGAATAAAAATAAAAATGTATTATAAAAAAAAAATATATATATATATATATATATATATATATAATAATATTAAATAAAAAAATAAATAAATAAAAAATAAAATAAAAAATAATAAAAAATAATAAGAAAAGTAAAACAATGAAAAAAATATAAAGCAAATATAAATTTAAAAAAAATATATATATATATAAAAAAACAAAAAAAAAATGTACATATGTAGATCACAATTCCTTAAAAATCTCTGAAATATTTTGAAGCTATGGCACCACAAAACTGTATTGGATACAACCATTAACTTTCCACTAAGTAGAGTGTCTGAAACCACCCACAACTACACTATTAATGGTCTCAGTCAATCCACTCACCAATTGGATAAGAAACAATTAATGTCAATCTCTGCATTTAAACCTTTGGGAGCCCCCATATTATAAATCCACTTCGGTTCATTTTGTGAGATGCCTATCAACATATCTCCCCCTCTCCATGGTGTTTCCACTCTATCTATACCACAGAATTTTAGACAAGTTGGGTCCCTATTGTGACAAACCCTAAAGTGATGTGATAAACTGTGATACTTACCGTATTTTTCGCTCCATAAGACGCACCTAGGTTTTAGAGGCAGAAAACAGGAAAAAAAAATTCTGAACTAATGGACTGCAGACATAGTACAGAAAATGACCAGAGACTGTGGACACAGTACAGGAGATGACCAGAGACTGCGGACACAGTACAGGAGATGACCAGAGACTGCGGACATAGCACAGGGATGACCAGAGACTGCGGACACAGCACAGGGATGACCAGAGACTGCGGACACAGTACAGGGATGACCAGAGACTGCGGACACAGTACAGGGATGACCAGAGACTGCGGACACAGTACAGGGATGACCAGAGACTGCGGACACAGTACAGGGATGACCAGAGACTGCGGACACAGTACAGGGATGACCAGAGACTGCGGACACAGTACAGGGATGACCAGAGACTGCGGACACAGTACAGGGATGACCAGAGACTGCGGACAGCACAGGGATGACCAGAGACTGCGGACAGCACAGGGATGACCAGAGACTGCGGACAGCACAGGGATGACCAGAGACTGCGGACAGCACAGGGATGACCAGAGACTGCGGACAGCACAGGGATGACCAGAGACTGCGGACAGCACAGGGATGACCAGAGACTGCGGACACAGTACAGGGATGACCAGAGACTGCGGACAGCACAGGGATGACCAGAGACTGCGGACAGCACAGGGATGACCAGAGACTGCAGACAGCACAGGGATGACCAGAGACTGCGGACAGCACAGGGATGACCAGAGACTGCGGACAGCACAGGGATGACCAGAGACTGCGGACAGCACAGGGATGACCAGAGACTGCGGACAGCACAGGGATGACCAGAGACTGCGGACAGCACAGATGACTGCTGACCTTTGGGGAGGTGGGGAGCGGGTACCTGAATTTGACAGGTACCCGCTCCCACTTCCGTGGAGTTGTTCTTTCATCTTACCTGTTCCTCGATCCAGCCGCGCGCTGTCTTCCCGGCTTCTGTAATGGCGCTCGGCATGACAGCCGGGTGCCCAGTGCGCATGAGCGAGAAGCACTTGCGCTTTGTGATTGGTCCGGCGGCTTCTGGGATCTGTCATGTGTCCCAGGTGCCGCCTTACCATTCACAAAAAGCACCGCTTCCCTGCGCATGCGCACTTGGCACCCGGCTGTCATGCCCACACTACAGAAGCCGGGAAGACCGCGCCGCTGGATAGAGGAACAGGTAAGATGAAAGAACAACTCCACGGAAGTGGGAGCGGGTATCTGTCAAATTCAGGTACCCGCTCCCCCTCCCTCCCCAAAGGTCAGCAGTCATCTCTAAGGTCCCGCTGTAGAGCTGAGCGGCGGCCCGGTATTCTGACACGGCGGCAGTGGAAATACCGGACCGGCCGCTCCATATT